TCAGTGGCAATCTGGTAAAGAGAAGTTGGTATAGTATTGTTTTCTTTACTCGTAGAATGTACAATGAACTGGGTTGGAAAATGTACACGATTAAAAAAAATGTAATTTACGTATACTCTACATTTTCTACAATATATTGTAGATTATTCAAAAATTCAAAATTAGAGTCAAATTGCCACTAAAAACATTGTCTAAATTTGTTAAATGAATGAAATGTGTTTCTATTGAAAAGATTTGTTATTTTAAATGTCCAATAGACACATTTTCAATAGAAATTACCATAAAAATTCTATTCAATTTTTGGTATTTTGATACATTTTCTGTTGTTTTTATATAAATTTGTTAGATTACATGGGAAAAAATATTTAATTTAAATTGTTTATAAAATGTAGATTAAGTATCAAAGTACATACCAACCCAGACAATGAATAAGAGAAAAAGTAGCGTTCTTTCACACAGAGAAAATTTACACGAATACACTTACAGGTTCTGTATAATTTTTGACATTTTACGTATTCTGTATAATCAACAGAGATATTGTACACTGTCTGTATAATTCGTCAGCGCATCTAAAATGTTTCCAGATGAGTTGACAGATGAATCAATAGCGAATTATACAGACAGTGTACAATATCTCTGTTGATTATACAGAATACGTAAAATGTCAAAAATTATACAGAATCTGTAAGTGTATTCGTGTAAATTTTCTCGCTGTGTTGGAATTATTAATTTTATGACTTTTCCAGAGAATTTATACATTTAAGTATTTAAGACTTTATAGAATATGGATTATTCTTTTACACTTTCACTATACATGAACACATATGCATAAAAAATTACAAATGTAGATAGTATATTTCTAGAAATTTTAAGTGACAGAAGTTCTAGAAATAATTTCTACAGGAATAATTTCGCCAGGAATAAATTCTAAGTCTACCATAAACTATTTCTAACATTCAGGTTTTAATTCACCAGTAATAAATGTGGTGCGCCCCTTTTTTGATACATCTTTAGTAACAACTTTCAACGCCAGACATCGGGAACCTGAAGAAAAATGTTCTAAATCTTATTTGCTCATCTCGTCGTTTTGACATTCAATGTTGACTTATCTCTTTTCGACTTTGTGATCGTGTTTTTTTTTGTCGAATTGCGAAAAACTCACATGCGACTCATCCTATAAACATTGTATATACATCCGTACATCTAATAGATCATCGAACTCTCTCCGATATCGATGCGATGAAAAACTTTTGTGTCGAGCTCCGACTTTTTTCTGTCTCTCGTTACCGAATTTATAAATTTTCATTTTTTTCAGTCATATTCGAAAAAAATATTCTGTACTGTCGGTGGGAAGTTTGTTAGAACGGAATTGAACACGAATCAATTTCAAATAGCAGCAGCAGCAGCAGATAAAACTTGTGCACACCAAGGAAAACCCACAGAAAACTTCTTGTCAAACGAAATCATCTTGAATCAATAAATTGACAATCCATGCAATGTGCACCACACAGCACAAAACTTAATTGTGGTCTTGCGACAAAAATATCTCAAACAAGATGCAAACAAGTACGTCTGTGTCGGAAATCGAATCAAAATGCACAAGCTGATTAGAGCAATACTACTACTACCAAACTGGAGTGTGATGGCACAAGTTTTTCATTTGCATATAATTTGGCATGTGATTGAATCGAAATCGACCAACTTTGTGTTCAAATACAAATTTAAATCGTTTACGAGACGAGAATTTATGTGTGCTCCGTAGGCGCGTGTATTCCAAGGAATGTGCGTGATGCAGTTTCATGTGATAGGGCTTGTGTGTGTTGTGAGTTGAACGCAAACCGACGAAATGTCTTCAAAAGGTTAAATTTTCTATTTTTGATTCGATGCAACACCATCGAAATGCGAATGAATGTTGATTGTATTTATCAAAACTCCATCTTTCTATTTTTGACTTCATTCGTGTGCATTTTCTTCACACAACTCATTTTTTTCTGCGTCTTTTTGACGTCTTCTTTCGTTTATTCTTCCATTTTCCATTCGCTCTTATTTTTATGGCCGTCATTCAATTGTACTTAAAATATGTACGATGTACGTGTTCATTTTTATGTGTTCTTACTTAACAATGATTGCTGTTGTTCGTTTGTTAACTTAACAACAACTGCAAAGATAAAAAAGGGAGAAGAATATGTAATAACAGAAGCGACAGATAGAATATTCTTCTCATTGTTATTCGCAATGATTTTCTTGTATTTTAAAGTTTGCCACTTTATTTATGCTAGACACATAACATCAAAACGCTCATTTTTCTCGCTACAAATGCAACACAAAAGCCACATAATTTCACTTCTGATGATGCAATTTAACACAATAGAATTTAAACGGCGAATGTATATTTTGTTTTGTGCTTAGTATTTTATTGACTTTGTTGGAATGTCTTTTTTTGGTTCGATGCACAAAGCTCTTTTATTCATGTCATTTTTAAATGCTTCTTCGACTCATCCGAAAATTCCATACTTTTAAATTTTATATCATTAAAGTGTAGTTTTTTTTACTTTGTCACATTTAGATTAATTACATTCGAAAGTAAATAATCTCCATTAAAAGATGTGTATCAGTTGTGTTACCGAAATTGAAGTCATATAAATTTCACACATAAAAATCATATAAAACAAAACATTTGGTTAAATTGTATTTGGGTTTATTAGTGATAGTGATAAAGAGATATTACGATTATCATTCTTTTATGTTTCCATCACATGAAACCAGTGTATCAGTATAATTGAAGAAAACTTCATTTTATCAAGAGGAAATAAACTTAAGTTCACTTCCTCCAAAACAAAAAAAGAATGTAAATTCTGATTTTGAATATAGTAGTCACCATCATTTACGTATCGAGAATTTAACTGAATTTTAATGCTTCACAAATATTTGGTTTTGCTTAAATTCCATCCACTGATGACTCATCAGTGATGAGTCATGTTGTACTTATTGGGTGCAATAAGTGAACTTGAAAATGAGTTTAATTTTTTCTAGGGGAAATGATCTATTCGCGAATGGACAAAATTTATTAGTTGTATGATAAAGTCGTCATTTTAGTAAAATAATTCAGAAAATTCGCATACAATTCGCAAGCTATTCGCAAAAAGTTATCACAATCAAACTATATAATATACGCTTGCAAACGAACCAAGTGAAGAGCGGCGACGCAAGAAAACGAAGTGAGTGAATAGCGGCAACGGATAACATTTTTTCTTTCGTTCGTTGTCGCTATTCACTCATTTCGTTTTCGTACGTCGCCGCTATTCACTTGGCTCGTTTACAAGCGTTCACAATTTGATACATACAAAACATACAAATTTTGCGAATTGTCTCACGTTCATAGCGTTTTGTTTGCGAATTGTTTTTTAAATCACAACTTTACTGGCCCATCGCTTACAAATCATTTCGCATAAAATTCGCGAAATATCGAATAATTCGCTATTTTCTGATCCCCTAGAATTTTTTTAGATAAAATTCAGAAATTGCTAAAATAAATAATTATTTTCAGAACCTCTAGACATCGTTTAATACAGTGATTAAAGGAATAATACCGACAATTATTTGTATTTTAATTTACCTAATTGGCCCATTTAAATAACATTAATACACACATCAATTTAAATATTCTATAATTAATTGCGTGTTCATTTCCGGAATAATCTATTTTAAACTGGTAGTTTTAAACTACAACAACATCTGAATTGTTCGTATCGCAATCAGTCTGCAAATAACGTCAATAAAATGAAGATAGTTAGTAGAATTTGGCTGGTATTGGTACCGATACTAACAATAAATTTAAAATTGTTTCATCCAATTCAAGCGTCAGTAAGTAATTTTGTCAAATTATCGATAACATTACAATTAAATCAATATCCATTGTAATCCCAAACTAGAAAAATACTCTTACATTCGAGAAATTTTTGTGCGTACGTAACCCGAATGAAAATATTTCTTGGCATTGTGATGTAAGGAATATAAATCATACTCACGTGAATATAAATATTGTGGGCAATTTTAGCAAACCAATTCGTGATCTTTGGACACACATCGTATGCTATTACAAATACAATACATATCAGAAGTATGCAGTTGATTTATGGCAAGATTTTTGCGGTTGGCTTTCAAACAAAAACAAAAACTATTTATTACATTGGGCATTTGGAAGTATTCAAAAATACAGCAATATGAATCATTCGTGTCCGTTCAATAGAACGGTATATATTAAAGCCAACAATGTTTCACTTCGTCAATTAACGTTTGATCCTCTCGTACCTTCTGGAAGATACCGTGTCGATATCAACGTTACCGATAGCACTCGACGCATTTTTTTCTTCATTGGGAAGCTGTTCTTCAGTGTGGCCGATAATAGGATCGAAAGAATTTAATTGATTAAGATTTATGTCGAAATTTCACTTTCAATGAATAAATGTGTTTCTTTTTTGCTTTCAATTTTTTTTGCATGGATACACAAACTATTTTAACAACTACACAAATATAATCAAATATTACCGGATACACATATGCGCAGTTTTATCCATGCGATAGGTTTTTATATTTCACATTCAAATGAACATCTATTTAGATTATTATACAGATAATAAGGTAGCCATTGCACATTGAAATTTTAATATTAACCTACATGTGACGTTTTACTATGTCTGGTTTTCCAAACAATAAACATAATAAAATGAGAGAGAAAATTATAGTTAGCCAATACCTTTATTGTTTTATTTCTCGTATGCAATGTATAACGAGGAAAGATAGAAATATTCATTTTCAAGTGACGCTATTAGTTTGAAATATTGTCGAAAGTTGTAAAATGCATTAACTTGATTGAAATTGACTTCAAATCAACCAATTATTAATAATGTGGAAGAAACAAGTATAAAATAAATAAAACATACTATTTATTTTTTTTTTTAATATTCCAATAATATTAACAAAAATTCTCTTTTTTTCAGATTTACTATCTATAGGCTTTTACATATGAGATCATCCACGGCTATGTAAAGTATGTACTATTCCATTTTGAAAGGATCGCAATCGAAAGATGTGATCGAGTAAATTAATTAAGGAAATTTACTTTATGATGGTATTAGTGGTTAGGTATTTTTCAGATATTTCGGACGTTCGGTATCATGGGCGTCCGAATCCGATTAGCCCGAAATCGAGTGTTTTTTGGAAATTATTTAGAAAATCTCGGGAAATACAGAAAAAAATAATGTTAGAACCATTTTTTTTCATTTTTTGTATCAGTTAAATCTTTAAAAAAAAATACGGGGACCTTACACCCGAAAATTCAATAAATACCGAGTGCCCGAGTTCGGGAAATCACGGGTTTCGGTAAAAAAAATAATTTCGGGTCGGGCTTCGGTCGGACTCGGGCAAGACACAGGAAATTCGATCGGGCGTCGGGCCGATTTTTCCACTCCTTTGCGACCTCTGGTGGTTACTTGATTTACTCCCTCTATAACATCCATCATTGAATTACATTGCCGTCAATAAATAGCAAACAGTATACATTAGCGGCACGGCACGCCTAGCTTGTTTGAAACCAAACAGATATTTATGACTTTTCATGAATACTGATTGAGATATAAAGTGAAATAAAATCCACAAGCGTAAAATTGTTGTGGTAGTGAAGTCTGTTGAAACTATTATTTCAAGTGAAACTTTCACTATAGTTCAAAGAAATGTTCATTTGGAAATTGTTTTTTTATACAGATTCATTGAAACATTTATATAAACTTCGTATCACACGGAATAACCTTTTTTTGAAAAATAAAATGAAACTTAAAAATTGTATCGTTTTGAAAGCAGTGTGCACGAGAGTGTTGCGTGACAGCAAACATTTCACTAGTCGAGTTGTTCATATGCTAATTAATAGGTTGAAGTCAAAGCTCAAGCAGGTAGTGTTTTTTATCAACCCTAGCAAATTCGAATATTCCATCTCCTCTGCAATTTGGAATAATTTTCAAAAATGTGAAGTACTTATTAACTCTGAAAACATTTAAATAAATATTTTGATTCTCCCTGCTTAGATTTCAAAATGTTACTGCATAATTTTTATTGATTGGGAGAATAGGTGAAAATCTCTACATAGTTTCGTCGCGTTGAGAAATTAAGTAAAATATGATTTTATTCTGCATAAAATCAAGAATGATTCAAGTGATGAAAATATGACAAATCGACGTGAAAAATCGTATTTAAGTGATTCGATACAATGTACGGGATGCATAAAATATATAATAATAATAATAATCTTTATTCACCGCCAAAACTGGCTGAATCATTTGAGTTTTTACAATTTTTTATACATTTGTTGGTGGGAAAAAGGTATGAATCAGTGATATACTATGGTAAACATCTGATCACCGTTAAAAACCACATCTTTTCAATAATAATCTTACGACCACATACGATATTCTAACGGTCACCCACACGGTCCACCAGCCCGGGTCAGTAGATCGAATGAACACTCAGCCACCATCCCAGGCTGCACCAGCCCGGGTCAGTAGATCGAATGAACACTCAGCCACCATCCCAGGCTGCACGGTAAAGGTAAATAGACCGAATGGGGCCGCCGATTTCGCAGTGGTCACTACGCCCCCCATGGCCAAAGTTAAAATTACATCATTATAACTATAAATGAATAAATGAATAAATAAACAATTAGCTACGTCTTACTGTAATAGCCAAAAGTTATCCCGTCAAACAGCAAAAAACACTTATAAATAGTTAATATTTTCAAATTGCACGCGGATACGATGAGTCGAAAACTAATAAATAAATATAATTTCAAATACTATATCTATATAAAAAATAAATCACAATGTATCACATTTGCTCGTTTAAGAAAACAGTGTTATAATTGGACACCAATGACAAGTTAGAAAAGTGATCATCGCTTAAGGATAAAAGTCGATTTTTGAAAGTTGATCTCTTTGATTGCATCGAAAATAGTTCGTGGACCCTATTTGACATTCTGCACATTTGGTTGAGTGGAACGGATGGATTGATTCGGAAGAATTTGTCATTGATTTTGAAGTACTCGACACTTCTCAAGTTACGTCCATTTTGATTGCGGGCCATTTCAGTCTTCAGTGATGGGCAGTGAACGTTGTTTTGCATCAAGTCGAATATGAATAAAATTGATGCATTTATACGGCGCCTTTCGAGTGATTGCATGTTTAGTTTGCCCAGGCGAGCGCTGTACGATGAAATTTTGTAGTCATTCGAGATGTTTGGATACTCCTTGAGTGCAAACATTGAGAATTGACGAAGGCAAGATTCAATTTTGTTCTTGTGAATGCTATGGTACGGTAGCCATACTAAACTGCCATACTCCAAGATTGATTGTACGAGGGCGCAGTATAACGACTTGAGAGTATTGACATCAGGAATATCGTAGCAGAATCTCTTCACGAATCCGAGCGCTGATGTTGCTTTTGCCACGATTGAATCGATGTGTTTGACGAAGTTGAGTTTGCTGTCGAAAATTACTCCCAAGTCTCTTTGTTCGCTTACTCTCTTAAAATTGTGACTGCCATATGAGTAGGAGCACATGATTTTCTCTCTCCTTTTTGATATCGACATAACAGAGCATTTGTCGAGATTTAGGTAAAGTTTGTTTGCTTCGCACCAGTTCTTTAATTTATCAATTGCCACTTGAAGTTTGATAGTGTCATTGGTGTCAGTGATTGAAGTTGCCAATTTCAGATCGTCAGCAAACAGAGAGATAAAAATGTCGTCGTCATCTATGGAATTTACAATATCGTTGATGAAAAGTAGAAATAGAGTGGGGCCCAAGTGACTACCTTGAGGCACCCCTGAGTTAACAACAAACTCACTTGATTCCATTTGCCCATATTTCACAAATTGACGACGATTTGACAAATACGATTTGATCCAATCGATTAAGTTTGGTGGCAGATTGAAATTGTGAAGTTTTGAAATCAGAATCGAATGATCAACAATGTCAAATGCCTTACTAAAGTCTGTGTAAAGTACATCTACCTGCTTATCTTCGTTCACTGCCTTGAGTGAAAAGTGCAGGAATTCTAAAAGATTCATCGAAGTTGAGCGGCCTTTCATAAAACCATATTGTTGAGGCACGATTTTATCGGCTACCATCTTGCTGATCTCCAAATTAATCAAGTATTCGAAAAATTTAGCGATTGTTGGCAATTTGGCAATGCACCGATAATTTTCAACGTTAGAGCGTGATCCCTTTTTAAAAATTGGTCCAACGCTGTAACGTTTCCAACTCGTGGGAAAGTGTCCAGTGGAAAGCGATTCATTGAATATTATCGCTAGAGGCGCATACAGTAGGGCGGCACAATTTTTGAGAAGGATAGGATGTATCCCATCCGGTCCAACGCCTTTCTTTGAGTTTATTTTAAGCAACTCGTCGAAAACAAAAAATTCGTTAAGAATCAATTCGTTAACGTTTGAGTTTGTTTGAGTTGATGCTTGTGCTACCGATTGACTTTGACACGGCTGGTTAACAAAGTTGTTTTTAAAAAAAGAAGCAAACATTTCGGCTTGTTCCCTTTTATCAACCGAAGATTTATCACCAAAATGTAATAATTTTGGGTCACAATCATTGTTTTTCTTCGTATTGACAAAGCGCCAGAACGATGTAGGGTCAGACTTCAGTGAAGAAGTCATTTTGTCGACATACGAGTTATACAGTTCCGTGTTAAGTTTGGTGTAATTATCAAGCGCAAACAAGTAGTCTGAGTCATCGTTCGTTGACTTCGATCTCTTCCACTCTTTGTTCTTTTTGTTCTTGAGAGATTGGAGTTGCTTGTTGTTCCACGGACATTTCGATTGAATCTTTTTCGTTTGTATAGGTACGTACATATCGATCGCTTCATTAATAACTTGGTGCAAAATGTCGACTTTTTGGTCAAGGGTCTTATTTGAAAAATGACGAGAGAAATCGACGTCGGCAAAGTACCTATTCATTGCAATGTAGTCGGCCTTGAGGAAGTTTCGAGTTTGAAATTGCCCTTGCGTTGCGTTATTTATGTGCCATTCATACGTCAAGAGAATTGGTGGATGATATTGTTCATCAATGACAGATAAAGGAGGCGGGCAAGAAACTTCCACATTTGTGAAATCGTTCGTGAATATTAAATCGAGCAATTTATTGCTTGCATTGCGAATAGAATTAATCTGATAGACACCATTGGCGGTGATGTCTTCGATGAAATCTGCCGCATGCAGTGGAGTGACGCAAGTTGGAATGAGAACATTCAATTCAGCGTCATCCATAATCCAATTGACAAGGGGTAGATTAAAATCCCCCAGTACAATGATAGTGTCATTTGGGCTCGATGGAATATGGCTTATGGCAATCGAGTGGCGTTTGTATATTTCCGGCTGTGAGTTTGGCGGAATATACGCAGCATAAATAAATACATTGAGTTTTGTATTAATGCTGACTTTAACGCAGACATATTCCAATTCACTTGTGTCGTCGAATACAATGTTGGTGGATGTAAGTTTTGATGTGACTGCTATTAGCACACCACCACCACGACTTAACGATGAACCAGTCTCATAGCGATCCTTGCGGTAAACATGGTATGAATTGTCAAAAAATTCTGACGAGAAATGAGACTGGTTTAACCATGTTTCCGTTAAAACAACGATCGAGTGTGAAAATGCCGACGAATTGCAGAAAAATTGTTTTGACTTGGTGCGCATGCCACGAACATTTTGATAATATATATCATTGCACACCAAAGTCGATTGAGGAGGGAGAGCGTGAATCGAGTTGCCTACTTGCGTCGGTTCTGTTGGGGCTGACTGTACAATCCCATCAGTGGACTGAGTAGGCACTGTGACAGCAGTGGCAACAAATTGGCAATCGGTGGAATTTCCGATGATATTGTTTGCCTTTGTTGTGGCTTTGGTCGTTTTCGACCATGAATTGGTGGCTTGAACGAGGCGTGCTTCTTGTTTTTTGAATTATTTACAGTTCGTTTGGGAGGTGGAATAGAC